CGAACAATTATACACAACAACCTTATCCCACAAACAACACTTGAACTTATCAAACAACAGGTTGCTGATCAAATACATCAACAGACAGAAACATTTAACAATAATGAAGATCACGTAACCTGTCAGGAAAATCCAGCAACAAGCATTGATAATAGCACACATATAACAACTACCACTAATGATACTACAGGCACTTCCTCATCCATCACTGATAACATAGACATACAATTAGTTAATATGCTCTCACTTATATTTCAGGAAACACTCACTAAATATACAGGTATAGATCCCACACAAAGACCACGAATACCGAAAATCAACACATCAAAGGTAGTAGGGAAAACACTAAATTATGTAAACACTCACTTACTACCAAACTACATCCATTTAATTTCTACACTCTCAGACATTCATACATTAGTTTATGCTGGGACAGTCACAGTAGTAACACAGCATTGACTGAAAATACAATCACAGCAGACACACACAAAACACAATTCTATCACAAGCCTGCCTGGCAGAGAAGAATAGAAACACAAATAAATGACATTAAACAGCAATTAGGCAGGCTGACCAATACACTAAAAACAACATAACACCCAAATTAAAGAAACAACTCAAAAACATTTTCAAGAAAATCAAAGCACACACAAAACATGAACATCACAACACACATTACAGAATACATCGATACACTAGAACAAAAACTCGCAGCCAAAGCACATAGACTCAAACGATACAAAACATGTACACTACGAAAACAACAAAATAAATTATTCACAAACAATGAAAAACTTTTCAAATTAGTACCAAAACAAACACTGATACACAGCACAGCAGCACACCAACAGAACAACTCACAACTTATTGGTTTTCTCTTTGGTCCAATGCTCTTACACACAATACTGATGCGGGCTGGATCAAGGAGGAGAACAGAAACTTGCATAACATACCAACTAGGCTCTGTGCTGAAATAAACATACACGACATTTGCTACGCTGTTAACAGAACACACAACTGGAAGACACCTGGTGTAGACAACATTCACAATTTCTGGTACAAAAAGTTTACATCACCGCACCAGGAACTAGCTAAACATCTAACACACATCATCATCAATCCACAAGATATGCCAAAATTTCTTACTCAGGGTATCACCTACATGAAACCTAAAAACAACAACACCACAGACCCCACACAATACAGACCAATTACATGTCTTCCAACACTCTACAAATTATTGACATCCTGTATCACAAACAAAATATACAAACATGTTGAACACGACATACTTACGAAACAACAAAAAGGTTGCCGTAGAAATCACAGGGGATGCAAAGAACAGTTACTCTTAGATTCAGTCATTCTACAGCAAGCACACAAACAACACAAAAACATACACATGGCATATATAGACTACAGAAAAGCATTCGACAGTGTTCCACACAGTTGGCTGCTACATATTCTACAAATGTACAAAATACAGTGGTGCCTCGTATAACATACTTAATCCGTTCCAGGTGAATGTCCGTTAAGTGAAAAGTCCGTTATACGAAACGCATTTTCCCATAGAAATACATGTTAAAACATATAATTTGTTCCGCAGCACAAAATAACCGTACTGTACTATAAAAAAAAAAAAAAATGAAAATGGAGCAGTCACCAATTATGCCAGGTAGTCAGCTGTTGTGAGGAGGTGGAGGATCACTTTATTCACACATTCATACAGATACAGACCTTTTACACATTGCAGCAGGTCTCTTTTTATTGTTTTTTAATCGGAGTCAGATTCAGGAGAGGCTACTGGGGCTTGCAGGGTAAACTCCTCTTGTTCCATCTTTTGTCTTTTGGCAGCTGGCTTTTTGAAAAAACATGTCCAACGTCGTCTGTTTCTCTCTCTTCTTCAACACCTGTCGGAAATGACGGGCAAGGGTGTCATTGTAGAGATCATTGATCCTGTTGGCCTGTTTGGATAATGAGTGTTGGTAAACTCCTGAACCTCTCCCCATTTGACAAGGAAGTTTCTGTCAACTTTCATTCCTTCTGATGATTTCTTTGCTTTGTTTCAATTGAAATCACCTTTCTGTTTTTTTAGAAGCCATGATTTGCACAACACTTGAATAAATGTAAATACCCTGCACTGAGGTGATGTACG